AGTGGTCACAACGTCAACGGCCGCCGTCGACGGAGAAATGGTCACCTGCAGAGATTACCTCCTGATGCGGACACAGAAGCCGCTGGAGCTCCCGTCGGTGGCCTCTCGCCAGATTGCGGAGGAGCGTCTCTCGTAGTCGCCAGAACCGCCCCCGATGCAGCAGAAGAGGCGGGCAGCACGGCTCCAGACGTCGCCGCTCCGGGGATACCTACCTGGGGAACATCATCCTGACCTTCCGCCGCTCGGACGGTTTCCGCCATCTCATCACGACGGACCTTCTTAGCCGCCCCCGCTCGGGAACTCTCAGCCACTGCCTCCCGCTGACGCTTCGAGAGGAGCGAGCTACTCGGAGACAGAAGCGGCGCCCCTATTTGTCCGATTGTCGGACTCTGGACTGGAGCTCGAATCTCGGGAACCTCAGATTCGTCCAAACCAGCATCAAAACCCTCGGAACCCTCAACTGGATCCTCCGAGAATAACTCCCTAGCGGTTTGGTGGCCCATTCGCCTTGAAGAACGGAGAGGACCCCTGACAGGACGATCGCGCTCCACCAGACATGAGTTCTGGAACCAGAAATTGGCAGGATCAGCACTAGCGCCCCGATACCAGCGGCAGTATAAGAGCGTGTGGTGTAAATCGCGGTCCTTCGCGGGCAACTCAAAGCGAGCCTGGGTGCCTCCAGCATGGGTCCAGAACCATCCCCGAGCTCCGTCAACTAGTCCTCCTTCGAAGTTTAGGTGGGGGTTGGCATTACCCACATACAATTGATCGTACCCAAACTGGCGGGCGAACCTGCAGGGGATATATGGCTCAAGATAGCATGTAGGGCCCGTTCTCAGAATGTGATACCCCGGTCGGATATTCACCAACCAGCGAAAGGCACCGCGAGTAAGGATCGTGTAGTGATCCGCTGTCGGAGCATCCCTGAGAGATTCTCCATACCTGCCCCCGCTGAAATAAGGGAAGAAGCGGCGGAAATTATAATGCCCAAAGTGGGAGAGCGTCTTCCTGGCATCAGGGATGTCCTTGCATTTCCAAGAGCACCTCTCCAAGCGCTGGACGAAGGGGACAAACTTATCGCCCTGGAGCGCCGCCGGGGCGCTCATCAAACATTCGCAGTGGTATACGAACCACGCCATCAAGTAGGTGTACGGTAGCCCCACCCTAGGATTGGGAGTTTTGATAACTACTCCTTCCCCCTCATCAAGGACCGACACACGACAGAATTGGGACGTCAGAGTACAGAGTCCCCGGTGAACGCATGCTATCGTCGCCGATACCAGGGAGTAGGACTTCCCGTGGGCTAGGCAAACTGCCGGGTACACGACCTCCACAGGAAGAGCCTCAAAGGAGTGAGTGGGGATTACGCACCTCTTCAGCCATAACATGAGGTACCCCGCGAGCAGCGCCTTCCCCGAGATGAGAAACTTCGCCTGATGATGGAATGAGTGAAGGACAGTACCAGACTTAAACCCGCCCTCGTCGCGGTCAAGAGTCAGAGTGCTTCCTTCTTTAGCTGCCCTCGCCTCCACTTCAGACTGGTCGCACGCGCCTAACCGGAGAGCGGGAATCCCCTTGACATCGTTCCCCGGGAACAGGTAATCAGCCCAATTCTTGTGGCTGATCCCCGGGGTCTTCTTCTTCTTCCCCTTGTGATCCGAGGCCCCTAGGGTACTGAGGCATATGTGGTAGTGGCAGAGTAACTCCCACAGAGTTTCAACCGCCAAAGGGGAATGGCTCGACAGCTGATCAATCTCATCTTGATCAGGGACGTACTCCTCGTAAGGAAAGTCTCCCAGAGGCAGCCCCGACACGTCGTACATCTCGTGAGGGGTGATACCAAGCTCACCATTGGGGGTGAAAAACGTGCCGCTTTCCGCGCAATACAGTTCCAAGATACTATGGAATCGACTCCCCCACGGGCAGTTCAGCGGACATTAAGCCAGGGCGCAGGCCCGTCACGCGCTTGCACGAACTCTCCACTCCATACCCAGCAGTGGAGCCCGTAAAGACGCCACAAGTAACCCCGTCCTGAGAAGGGGTCAAATCCCAGGGCATCGTCCGAGGAATGGCGAGGAACCGCAGCTCGACGATCGAAAACCCTCTCGACATGCTGGGGAGGTAATAATGAACCCCCTCTACCGTGCGGAACCACCGGCTCTCTTTGAGCAACAGGGCGGAGGGGTCGGCCATAGCGTCGCCGAACAAAAATTGAGGCTTCGGCAGCTCTGCCCTGTCCTCATCTGTCAGCACCGCGTTGGTCGTCAACTCGCGTAATGTCAAGTGATGACCGTCCGTGACCCTCTGTACCAGACCGTGCGGCTTATCAGCGGTGAATACGGGCACCGGAGCCAGAGAAGGAAATCGAGAAGGCGCCGTGTAACTCGTAGCCCCGGCGTGGCCAACCGCCACACCCTCCGGGAGAGCCTCATCGGAGAAGGTCGCTGCAACAAGAAATAAAAAGTCAATTGAGACAAAATCCGCTGTAGGGGCGAAATCGCCCATCGAACAGAGGAGGGCGAAATCGCCTATCGAAAGGGGGAACCCATTTCGAACGAGGTCTATCCGTACAGCCTGCACTCCCCTTTAATGGGAAAGGGCCGAACTCGCCTTACGAAAAGGGAGTTCGTCTCCTCCCCACTGAAGGATTCGCCTGCAGGGGCAGTACCCATCCTCTAAAGGCAAAATAGGGCAAACTTTGCCCCAAATCGGGGAAATGAGTAACGCTCATCTTCCTAAAATCCGACGCCTAAAACTTACAAGAGATCATCTAACGAACCCATCAACATACCTGGGTGCGATTCCAGAGCACCGGCAGGCATGCCGGCGGAGAGACGGTCGGAGTAACGTCCGGGGCCTGCACCCCTCACCTTGCACCTCTTAGATTTCGGAGCCATTGTAGGATGAGGCGGGAATTCGTTCCTTGGAGGTTCCTTTCAAGATTGGAGAGCACGGTAACTCCCAATGGAGGAAAATGGCTGATTTAGGAGGGCGGAGTTATCCACGTGGCCACGACTGCCCTCGAAAAGCGAAAACCCTAACGGACAGGAGACGTGGCCACGATCAAATTCGACGGCCCAGATCACCCTCGGTATAGCGAAAGAGCCGAGGTTGGCGGTTGCATCCGACGGTTGAGTTCGAAAACCACGGCCACGATGCGTTGCGGGACGAAACACGCGAAAATCGGGTTGTCGAGTCACGATCGCCACGACCCGAGGAGACCACGCCGCCTTAGCCGGAAAGCACAAAGCCCTATCAGCAGACACGTGGCTCATCTCCCGTCAGATCTGGGCCCGCCTCAAAAAGGGAGGGTTTCGCCTGCAAATACTTGGCATGACCCCGCGAGTTGCGCGAAACTTGGCTCATAAAGATTAATTTCGCCTGGACGACTCGCTCGCCACTAAAGGTAAAATTATAAATGAGCCCAATAGAATGACTTCGTCTAAACAGTTAAAACCCACGCCTCAGACGACTAGGGGTTAGAGCAGAAATCTTAGCATTAAGCCTAAGAGAAACTGTTCGACAACTCATCATACTGAGGGGAATAGTATGGCTAGCCCGATTCAAACGGTGATCGGTAAAGGCACATCAAACCCGTTGATAGCTGAGGATTTGCTAAAAATCCTAAAAGAAATCAAGTGCGCTTACTTCGCCGAAAATTTCTTCATTCAAAGTATTCCAGACCACACGCAAGCCAGTTTAGGTCTGAAAACTTTGAAGGGGGTCTTGTAGACGGTAAAAAATACCTCTATGGGTCTACAGGAAATTTGCCTACGAGAAGAGTTCGCATGCCCAGTTCTCTGGCACGGACCTAAACTGCGTAGACGTCGACTGTACTCAAGTCCAGGTTCGCCTAACGGTCGACTCGCCAGCATGAGTCAGGGTCGATCAGGATGGCGGAAATTCGCTCTTCGCTCAACTCGCCTGCCCGAGTTCGGAGTCGAATCCGCCAGCAAGCCCCAAAACCGTCAGTACAGCTGGGTATCCACTACCCCACGTGCTGAGATGGGCCTTCCCATCTCTCTCGACCCGAGGGGAGAGAGAGCACAGTACCCCAGGACCGTCAAACGGCCGCTCGCAGTGCGCACAGCGCGAAGGGACTGGACAGGTGTCGAGTCAACCTGAGCATTCATAAATGCGACTCACCTCGGCTGTCTGAGCCGAGAGCTGGATCCGCCGGCACTCGGCAAGCTGGCTAGACCCACTCGAGTACTGTACACCTACTTCACCGTCTCTCCTGACCGGAAAGGAGAAAGCACCGTGCTCAAAGCACGCCGGGCGGTCACGCACAGTACAAGTGATCGGACAGACACTTCATCGATCTGCGAACTCATAAATGCGGTTCATTAATGCTGGTCAAATCCACTCGGATAGCAGTCGTTCGTTGCCTCACACACAAGAATGGGCCTTCTCATCGTAGGTGACAGGACATAAAGCACAATCCCTGGAATGACCATTCATGGTATCGAGGAACGGCGAGACGTCTCTGAAGAGGATGTGGTCACATCCCACAATTCAAGGAGAAGTCAAGCTGTCCTTCCATTTAAAAGCCCATTCCAGCACACTGGAAGGGGGGTCGCAATTTTTAGAGAAAAGAGTTGAGACCAAGCTCCCTGCATAGCCTTTGCATCGCAGCGTCGCTGTTTAGTTCCGAGCCCAGATCGCCGGCGAACTAAACAAAACCAAACTCTATTGCCCTGAGCTTCTACTGCGCACCGAAGCTCTCCAGCAACCTCGATCGAACGGTCCAAGGGAAGCAGACTCGACCCGAGCATCGAGCGAAGCGTCCTATAGCCACCTAAAGTCCCCACACAAAACAAAGAGGGCTTTCCCTCTGCTTCTGTTGTAATCATTTGATTCGTTAGTTTGTAATAAGCTTTCTTATAAATACAAACAAGCACTCCCTGTTTTCGGGAAATCAAATATTCACCCTACAACAGGCAATTATCAGCATCGGATGTAGATTGGAGTTATGATGATCCAACAGAGAGGTTGATTCCGAGAAACTCTAAAAATGTTGAGATGGGAGAGAGCAGTGGTGCTTATATTGTCCGCATACCATTTGGTCCAAGAGATAAATATATTCCTAAAGAGCTCCTATGGCCACACATTCAAGAATTTGTTGATGGCGCACTCAACCACATCATGCAAATGTCAAAAAGAGCTCCTATGGCCACACATTCAAGAATTTGTTGATGGCGCACTCAACCACATCATGCAAATGTCAAAAGTTTTAGGAGAGCAAATTGCTGGAGGCCAAGCAGTATGGCCTGTTGCTATACATGGACATTATGCTGATGCTGGTGACTCTGTTGCTCTACTATCTAGGGCTCTAAATGTCCCTATGCTATTTACAGGTCATTCTCTTGGAAGAGATAAGTTGGAACAACTTCTGAAGCAAGGGCGTCAGTCAAGGGAAGAAATCAACTCAACATACAAAATTATGCGAAGGATTGAGGCTGAAGAACTAGCTCTTGATGCCTCTGAAATTATCATCACAAGCACTAGACAGGAGATTGAAGAGCAATGGCGCTTATATGATGGGTTTGATGTGATACTTGAGCGGAAATTGCGAGCTAGGATTAAGCGTGGTGTGAGTTGTTATGGTCGCTTTATGCCTCACATGGTTGTAAGTATCTTCCTTTTTACTTTATTTATTCCAAGGTGTTTGATGGTTAATACGTGATGGTTAATTGTTTTATCAGAGTTTATTTTTCTTAATTTTTTTCCTTTTTTAGTTTTTGCTCCTTCCATTTAGCCTTTGTTACTTTTGAGAATTAACTATGTTATCTTCATTGCAGGTGATACCCCCAGGCATGCAGTTCAACCATATTGTTCTGCATGAAGATGTGGATGGTGATTTAGAAGAAAAAGAAGATAATAAAGCTACTCCTGATCCACCTATTTGGCCTGAGGTATTGAAAAACACACTTCCTTCCCGAAAGAATACTTCAATTGTGAAATTTCTTCTTTTAAACTAAAAAGAAAGAAAAAGTGAAACTGCAGTGTGTTGTTTTGATATAGAGAAGCTCAATTTTATTGTTTTATGTTTTTGCAGATAATGAGGTTTTTTACCAACCCTCGCAAACCTATGATTCTTGCTCTTGCTCGGCCAGATCCCAAGAAGAATATTTTGACACTTGTGAAGGCCTTCGGTGAATGCCATTCATTTGAATCTTCCGCATGATTCACGTGATCTTCGATTCCTTCATTTTGATCAGAATGTGTTATTGTTTCCTTGCTGTCTTGAATTTTTAAATAAACAACTTCTTCAGTTGTTTTTCGAGGTACAACAGTTTTTTTATTGAAATTAATGACAACATTATGCTGCAAATTCTCTTGACAATGATATTCCATGCCTCGACTCTCACTCGATAAAGTATCTGTGATTGGACTCCTCTCAGGATGATTCTCTACGAGAAGCTGAGTGCACTTCTTATTTTCTTCAAATGTGAAATTGCCAGGGGATACAACTGATGTTTGATATCCATTAGTCTCTAAATTTGCACCATTCTCATAGTTAGTATCTTAGTGCATTACACGTGTGCATATTGACCATGCTCCTTCCAGGATACACATGGAATTACAATTACATCTCATACATACAAGTCCTTAAAGTTGGCAATCGCACTTACACCAAGAATATGGACATCCAGTATATGGCATGAGAGGCATACCTTGGTTCAATTTGAAATAAATTATTTGCCATGGTTTTCTTTTGTCTAATACTAATAATGAGAAATACTAACTGTCAATAAATAAAATGCATGCCTACTAGGGATACAATATAAGTGGTACAAATCATTACTATAGTTCTAAGTTAGTAAACAAGGTTAAGAAAAAGGTGATCATTGAGAATACAGTGTTTCAGAAACTTAAACATTATTGACGATAATGAGTTCTGCCATTTAACAGGTATTCTCTCTCTTATCAGAAGCGATCTCCATGTGCAACCTTTGAGAAATCATTTTTTTTTAAGTATCTTGATGCATGAACTTTGTACTGCTGAACTAAGCTTCTTGACGCACAAACAAAAGCTAGCATTTCGGATCAACACCTATAATGCTTGTATAATGCATGTACAGTAAGCCATTTTCCCTCTCCACAGAAAGTTTATTATAGAAAAGCACAGAAACTTACACCGGACATGTCAAATAAATGCAGGCATTTCTACAGCACGGCCTGCCATCCTCACCAGACGAACTGCTCGAACTACTGAACAAGGTAAATTGCTACATATTTGGCACAGATGATTGCAATGTCCTGCTTTTTAGCCTTATAGTTAGAGCATAAAAACGATATAGTTTAATTAATAGCATAATGCAAGCATTTTATGTTATCATATTATTAGCGTGGGTGTGGCCATATGCATGCACACAAATCTGTGTAGGTATGTATGCATACATGCAATCTATTAAGATGTCATGTTAGTGTGTCCCGTGCTTCTTGGGCGAAATTCTTTAAGGCCTGAAGTTTGTTTACCTTTAGAAATCCACTAGAACTGAATATAATTGTAGTTTTATAAATGCAAGCTGTAGATTTATTATGTACAAGTCACCATTGCCGTAACATCATCCTCATAACATGCCTGACAATATTCAAGCGTCTATAATCCTACATGTCTTTACTTGCAAATTATTGCTTCAGTAAATAAAAAAATAAATTTTGATGTCTACGATGTTCTAAATTTGTACGTGAATGGCCATGAAGTAACCTAGACAACTATCAGATTAAGTAGAGCCCTTGAATTATCCTTCTAATACTCTTAAACTTTGTCAAGATATTTACTGATCTTAATAAATTCCTGAGACAGTTTAAGCAGCCAAGATACACCTCTGACTCTGACCAATTTAAAAGAATATTGAAGATACAGATACTCATCCTAAGGTTTGAAGTTATAGTTTGCATCTGTGGATAATTACTAAAGATCAGATCCTACTTGCTGGCTTCTGAAGTGCTTAAAATTATCATAACTCAACCCCATTACGCTTTAAGGTGTTCTTTTGCTTGACTGCATTCTCAATACGTAAATTGTGATATAGGCAGCAATCAACGTAGGATGGATAGTCCGTAATGCTTTGGCTATTGAGCATTTCATCATGAGGCATTCTTCTGATACCACAAATGTAAGTGAACCACGTGAGCACCGAGTATTTTGGTTAAACACGATGTTCTTTCTCCCCTATTGTCATTCTCTGATTGCTGATTACTGACTGTGCTACAAGGGAACAATTGAAGAGAAAGAAAGACTTTTGCGGCGTGTCTACGGCCTTGAATACCCTGAACCAAACGTGACATTTGCACTTTGCCGAGGCACCTGGTCTTCACCCGCGGTAGAAATGAAAGTTTCGTAATATATTCAAATGTTGAGTAATGTTTACACAAGTTTTTTTCTTGAAATTAATTACAACACTATGCTGCAAATTCTCTTGACAAGGATATTCCAGGCCTCGACTCTCACTCGATGCAGTATCTATGATTAGACTCCTCTCAAGATGATTCTCTACGAGAAGCTGAGTGCACTTCTTATTTTCTTCAAATGTGAAATTGCCAGGGGATGCAACTAATGTTTGATATCCATTAGTCTCTAAATTTGCATTAACAGATGATTTAGAATATATACTTTTTGATATATAGAAATGAAAGTTTCATAATATATTCAAGATAAAGCTTTGAGTCGTAGCATGCACCTGTATCATATATTCTGCGAATAATGTATTTAATAAATAATTTTAAAATTGGTGAGTGAAAAATTATTTGACTTTCAAATATTTAAACTCTTGTAGTTTTTCAATATGCATCACGTGCAGAAGTGACTTGCCATCGATGAAACCCCTGATGCCTGTAAGGACTCAGGTAACTTATGTTGTCATAAACTTCTTTTAACATAACAAGTCACGGAAAGAGAAGAGGGGAAAAAATTATATTACTAATGGTTCATTTATTTATCTTTTCATTTCTTTGTTCCAGTTTGTTGAAATTATTATTAATTGAGTTTTTGCTAACTCAATTCTCTTGTATCTTGCAGCATTGGACAAAATTCATCTTATTCATTCTATGTCTATAAAGGATCAGAAGATTCTGATAAACTGTGGCAGAGGCCAATTCGAATCTTCAACACCTAGCATGTATGTTGATTTCACTATGCTCTAGAGATCAATACTAGAACCATTCATTTTAGTTAATTCAAGCTGTTGCTTCTCTTGTAGGTTTTTCCTCAATGTATCTTCATTTAAAATGAGGTGCTCCTGGCCGGACAAGAGGACTAATTATCTCTGCAATCAACTCATCGACAAATAATATTAATGGGTTCAAACAACTTTAACAATCCATACATCAGGCAATTGGAGAAAGATGTCTGCACTATCACTGACATGTTATTGATTTTGTACTACGACATAAGAGATGAAACAGAGTAGTGTTTGAACACCAAGAGAGCTAGCATGTTAAGTTGTAGTTGAGACATGGTTATGGTTCATTCGTTGCTATTAGATAAATCATTATGTTCTGTGATCTAAGTGAAATGAGATTGCAAAAAATTGTTTCATGGGTGGTGATGCCTACATTTATAGTATCATTGCTTTTAGCCTGTGATAAGTCAGCTTTAGTGGATCTATGCGACATCTGAATTTCATTATAAAAAGAAACTTATTGGAGCGCAATATGAGAGAACTCTACATGAAATATAAATTAAAGCTGATCCATATCTGTAAAGATAAACCTAATTCTTTTTAGTTATAGTACCATGGTTTTCCTCCTTTGGTTTCATTTGCAATTGATTTTATCAATGATAGAACTGCTGTTATCAAACAATTAATAAATAAATATAATTTTACTATTCAATCCTTTTGAATTTTTAAATTCTATCCATATGTTTGATACATGATTTAAAATTAAACAAATCTTAATGAAATGAATCAATAATAAAATAATAAATTAAAAATTTACCACGTGCATTGCACGTGCAATCATACTAGTTATAATAAAAGATGGGTAGAGGTAGCTCCCATCTTGAGGGCATTTTAGGAACTTCTCATGTTATTTAACAGAATATTGATGGAAAATTATTTAACAGAATCATGGTGATTTTATGAAAACAAAAAAAATTTGCAATGATTTGGAAAAACACTATATTTTAAAACGATTTCATATTTAAAAAAAAATCCCTTATTCATAATTTTCATAAGGATATTAGAAGATAAATATATAAAGACAAGTGTCTTTAGACATGATACTTGCTGATAACTTGTATAATTGTCTTTAGACATGAGAGTTTTAACGAAAAGAACTTTGTGATAGTCTTCTCCATAGCTGCGTCCTCCCAGAAAAATATACATACATTTAAAATAGAAGTTAAAAAAATAGCCACAAATACCTTTTACCAAAAAAATAACATGTATCCCACTATAAATTTTGAAGTTGTTGATTGTATCAATGCTTTTTCTCGTTATTAAAATTGACAATTTACATGCACCAAGTCTTCTCTACAGCTTCTTCCGAATTAAGTTTTTTGAGGTACGAGCGATCACCTCTTAGAGATCTCCAGAATGAAGATCCTTCGCAACAGCGGTTTCAACTCTCGGTAACGGCTCCTTCGCAACACTAAAACTCCGAAGTTGTGGTAACAGTTGAATGCTCCGCTGGTTGGTGGCCCTTCTCATGGATTGAAAAAAAAACCCTGAGATATTTTACGCATCAGTACTTTTTAAAATCCTCGAGGTGTGACTAGTGGAATTTGGAACCTCATTGCTCTGACACCATCTTAAAGATCTCTTCCACTGCACCCAAATCCAACGAATAGCACCAGAGTTTCTTGAGCTCTTATCCATTGCAAACTCTATAATCTTGGCGCTGCTGATCTCCTCTCTCCTCTTCCCCATCGTCACAAAACAACTGTATATCACACACATATCTGAGCCACTTCATCTCTCCAATCAGATCAACCATAGGAACACAGGGATTTGATGAGATTCAACGATCAATGTGATTACCTACTTCCTCAGAGTATAACCAGGCCGCTGTTACAGCAGTCCAAAGCTCAACTCCCTCTATTCACCCGCCGCTGCCACACACAAAAAGAAAGCATTCAGTAGGGGTGCAATTTTGCAGGGGTTCAATTCTGGGTCAACGTGTTATGTACTGCGTATATCAGGCTTCACAAACAACACTTATCCATTGCAAACTCCAGTCTCTTGCTGATCTTCACTCTCCTCTTCACCATCATCACAAAACAACTCTATATCAGGCTCATACCCAGTCCACTTCATCTCTCCAATCAAATAGTCCAACATCTCATATATCTCCCTACATTTTCGGTGAGCCTTATCTCCCACAAGAAAAGTATGCATATCACTCATTACCTCTATCCAACTACACCCAGGCTCTTTTTTCATCCTACTCTCTTTCATTATCCTCCTCAACTTTGAAACATCCCCCCATCTCCCTACCTCTGCATATATATTCGAAAGATGAATATACGATGAAGAATCCTGAGGATCCAAGCGAAGTATGTTGGCAACCGCTACTTCAGCCATCTCGACATTTCCATGGATCTTGCAAACGTTGAGGAGTGTTCTCCATATCACATCATCAGGCTCAAAGGGCATGCTATTGATAAGCTCCAATGCTTCGTGGATGCCCTTCGCGCGCCCGATGATATCCACCATGCAGGAATAATGCTCAATCTGAGGCTCTAATGTGTAGTACTTGGTCATCAGATCAAAGTAATGTATGCCTTCATCAACCAAACCTACATGTGCACATGCACGCAGCACTGATATAAATGTAGCCTGGTTTGGTTTAATGTTTTCTAATTGCATTTGTTCGAACATTTTGATCGCCTCTGATCCGAGTCCATGATGTGCATAACCGCAGATTAAGGCATTCCACGATACAAAATCCCTTTCCAGCATCTTTTCGAAAATCAACAGAGAATCGGGCAAATGCCCACATTTAGCATACATGTCTACAAGAGAGCTTGATATGAATATATCATCCTTTAGTTTTTGCTTGATGATCTGAGCATGCATTTGCTTCCCTAAACCTACCATAGCTAGGTTTGCACATGTGTCGAGAACTGTGGCGTAGGTAAAATTATCAGGCTTCAAGCCCATGTCGATCATCTTGGAGAAGAGATTTTGGGCTACTTCACTTTGTTTCTGCAGGGAGAATCCAGAGATTATGGCATTCCATGATACAAGTGTTTGCTCCTCTATTCTGCTATGGAGTTTCTGTGCTTCTTCCATCATTCCACATTTGCAATACATATCGATAAGAGCACTACCAATGAAAGGATCCAGACCAAGTCCAGATTTGATGATTTTGTCATGGATTTTCTCTCCATAATCCCTTGATTGCAAGCCAGCACAAGCTTTGAGAACACTCCCATAGGTGAAGTCATCAGGGTCCATCCCACATCTCAACATGTGATCGAAATGCAACAAGGTTTCTTCATACTTTTCATTCTGCTCAAAAGCGGCAATAATGGCATTCCAAGAGACTATATCTCTTCGATTCATCTCCTCAAAGACACTATAGGCTTCATCTATAGCTCTACACTTGCCGTACATGTCCAAAATCGCATTCGCAACACAAATATCTGAGGAAAGAGTAGATTTAATAGCCAATGAATGGGCTTGTAAGCCCTGTAGATACCCTTTAGCCTCAGCACAAGCACTGAAGACACCCGATAAGCTTATCCCATCTACACCAACACCAGATCGTTGCATTGCTCGAAACAACTCCATAGCTTCTAACCCTTGTCCATTTCTGACAAATCCCACAATGACAGCGTTCCAAGTCTGCAAGCTACGAGTTGGAAGATACTGAAAGACTTTCATTGCATCATCAAGGCCGCCACTCTTAGCATACATATCCAAAATAGCAGTGCCAACCACAATATCCAAATCATAATTATTCTTGAGAGAATGACAATGATACTGGCCACCGGTTCTTGCACATGACAATCCAGCGCAAGACCTGAAAATACTGGCATAAGAAGATTGACTCACGCCGATTCCTTCCCTCTGCATCTCGTTGAACAGCTGCAATCCCTTACAGAATTGCTCATTCTGAATGCAGCCTCCAATGGCTGCACTCCACGATATCCAATTCCTCTCTGGCATTTCGCAAAAGAAATAAAGAGAAGAGCTCAAATTCTTGCACTTAGCATACATGTCGACAACAGCACTGCCAGCAACAACATCGACATCCAGGCCCATCTTAACGATCACCCCATGAATCTGCATACCCATCTCATTATCTTCTAACAAAGAACACAATTTGAGCAAAATAGCAAACGTAGTTCGATCCGGGTCAACATCACTCAACCGCATTTTCGAAAATAGCTCAATGGGCTCACTCAATTTCCCATTCTGCAAACACCCCGACATCATCGAATTCCACGATACGACATCTCTGCACGGCATCCCATCGAACAAGCCCCTTGAGATTCCGATAAACCCGTTGCTGGCGTAGCCAGAAATCATGGCGTTCCAAGAGACCGAGTCTCGGTGAGGCATTCGATCGAACACCTTGCGTGCGTAATCGAGGTTGGAGCATTTGACGTGCATTTGGATTAGACAGTTGGTGACAAATAAAGTTGGGCTGAACCCTGAGATGATCATTCGGGCATGGGCCATTTGGCCTGTTGATGGGTCTTGGCGCTTGGAACAATGTTGGAAGATGTGGGAGAAAGTTGCTCTCATCGTTGCGAAGAGAGAGGTGAAGAGCTTGAGATGGAGAGGAGGCTGATGGATTGAGATGGGTTCGGCGAGAGGAGGGCGACGGAGTGAGAAGGGAGCCATGGGTTCTCATCGCCGGAGCTCAGAGATGACCGCTGGGATTCATGGGCCGACGAAGACGGCCACTAACTCGTTTATAATTTCGGGCCGTTTTCTGTCTTTCTAATGGGCTGGGCTAAATTACGGCCTGAAAAAAAAAAGACAGTGCCCTCCACGTGCGCGGTCACGTGACCTCCCGCCCCGAAGCCCGATCCCCGGAGAATCATCAAAATCAAATGCACCAAAATCCCAAACAAAATTAAAATAATATTTTCTCTCATTTTCCTCCCTCCCTCTCTCAAAAATCCTCAGAAATCCTCCATTTTAATGGCGAAAGTAGCGGACGTCTTCCATCTTCACCTCGAAGAAGAAGAAGAAGAGGAATTCGAAGAGGAACCATCGCAATTAGACATCGATTTCGATGCCGAAACCCTGGATCCCTCCCCTTTCTTCGCCTCCTTCGTCTTCGAAGAGGAGGAGGAAACCCTAACCCTAGCTCCCCCAATTTTCTCCCCTGAAAGCAATTTGCAAAGATCCGACTTCGACGACCAGATCACCCTCACCCTCGACCTCTTCGATCGCTGCCCCCATCCCGAAGCCCTAGACACCTCCGATTTTGGCGCGTTCGACGCCATGACGTCTGATTACCTAGGGTTAGGGTTAGGGCTGGGGTTTGAAGTCGAAGAGCAAGATCAGGAGGAGGAGGAGGAAGGTCAGTGTATGGATCAAAGGGATGGGCTTCGGGCTGTTGGGTTCTTCTCGGATTCGGAAACCGAAGAGGATCCGAATCCGCATCATCATGATCTTTGTTGGGATTCGCTTCGGTTGGAGGAGGACCAGAGGGATTTCGGCGAGGATTTCGAGTGGGAGGAGATTGATGGCCGGCTCGACCAGAGGGATCTTCTGAGCATGATGGTTGGAGAGAGATCGAGGAGCTCTGAAACCGATGAAGAGGATGAATTGGAGGAGGAACTGGTGGAGAATGTTGATTGGGAAGTTCTTTTACATGTGAGCAATGTGGTTGTGGAGGATGAGGATTATATAAACCCTTCGGAGTATGAGATTTTGTTTGCTGATCATGATAGTGCTATTAGAGGTAGCCCTCCAGCTGCGAAATTGGTGGTTGAGAATCTACCGTATAAAGTCCTGACCCAAGAGGATTTGGCCAAGAATAATGCAACCTGTGCAGTTTGCAAAGATGAGATTTTGTTGGAGGAGAAGGTGAGGCAGTTGCCATGCATGCATCATTATCATGGGGATTGCATCTTGCCCTGGTTGGGGATGAGGAACACTTGTCCAGTTTGTCGATATGAGCTGCCGACTGATGATCCTGAGTACGAGAGGTGGAAGGCTCGGAGGAGGACTAGTCATGATGGAATGGCTAGTAATGATGGCAGGTATGATCTCGAAATGTTTTCTGAGGATTTCGTGTAATAATGTTGTGTTGTTTTAGGTTTAAAGTTTGTGTCTTTGTTCATCTGAATTTAGTGCAGAAGTATAGTAATGGGTGTCAGAACTTTTTTTGTGATAGTATTCTCAATTGGGTTGTTTGGTAATTCAATGTTGAAGGTGTTAAAAATGTATGTACATACCAACCTTTTGGCTTTTTTGCAAATAAAAGTGTTTTTTCTTTTAGCTCATATGATTTTTTTTGTTATTAATATTAATGATCTATTAGTCTGCATTTTGTTGGAACATTAGTCTTATAGTTGAACCTTTTCCCATAGTATTCTCATGTTTGGATCATTTGTGAATTCAAAGTTGTATAGGTGTTAGATACCTATATTTATAACCCTTTGCAAATATATGTGGAACTTAGTCCTCCATATGATCAAACTTTTTATGACATAGTATTGTTTCTGTATTATCTTTATCTTGTGGAAAATTGGTTTAGGAAATTATCAATTTGCTAATTTTGGATTCTCAAATGTGTAGATAGTAGATACAGATCTTTTGCAATTAAAATATGGTCTCAAAATAACTGCATAATAGACTTCTTTATTTGATTGCTTCATACAATACATGCAGACTACTTTATTGCGAGTTCACTGTTATATTGCCATTCTATTATATTGTCCAATGGCATATTTAAAACCTTCAGCCTATGAATAGTTCATCTCTAGCATTGCAATCTTTCTTGTTATCATATTTTCTTTGTGAAATGAATCATATTTGGGTCATTGGGTGTAAGCAAAAAAATATGTGTTTGGTCTTCCTCAGACATTGGTTTTCGTAATTTCCTTTTCCCTCTATGATAGAGATTTTAGTTGTAATATCATTTTAAGGCTAAATCAGAATGAACTGAAATATTCCCTTATCTTATCATTTCTATGGGTGCGGGTATGCTTCATTTCAGATGTAGCCAGGAATCATTATGATTCATGTTACTACTATTATGTGCTATGTTGGTCTAATATGACTACTTGATCATCTCTTTTTTCGAATACACTGAAACCTATAATAGCTCCAATCCTATAGCATCCTTTTACACTATTCACATCAGATTATTTAGCAAACAATTAGAATTAACCTAGTTTATGTTTGTCTAGTGGATGCATATTATGGCTATCACATCCTTTAGCCGATAGAGTTATCTAGATTGACAATATCTCAAAAATTTTCTGTTTTTATTTTATACATAAGCCAGTAAGTATTAATAGAATTGTTTCCATGATTCCATCTATGTTTGACTACCTTTTTCTTCAACATATCCCTCTGTTCAATTATTCAACCAGGAATTCCATCGTGCAGAGTGCCAATTTTTACTTGGAAATGGGGCTCATAACTAAATTGATTTACCTTTAGAGAATGAATTGGTGTAGTTGGCCAACTGTTTGGCAATTTGTAGGATCCTTTCGGTTATATTTGAACCTTCATGAATCGGAATAATTTCCTTTCATCGTTCTGTTATATATTTGTTTCTGTTTCAAGTCCTATTAGAAATGTTATATTTGCGTTTACCTTAGTAGTCTGCTATAAGACGAGCATACCGATTATATATATATGGCAGAAAGCCTGCTAGTTAAAGCTGCCAATAGATCAGTCATCATTGATGCTAATAATACAAAACGAATTACGACTTCTAGCTGATGTGTAGACAGACTTTTATACGCACTGTATTGAAGTAAACATGAAGTTCTTTTGGCTTTGCATGCTTCACATCACAAACTATAAACATGGTATATCTGGTTTTCTTTTTTCTTTATTCACCTATGACTCAATAGATGACAGGCACATTTTTCTACGACCTCAAAAGTTTTATGTTAATGGACTAAGGTTTGTTATGGAAGACAAGTTATGGAGGACAGCTGCACTTGTGCCAGGTATTTCATATCCATCTCTTTGTAACTAAGGTAGTTTAGTTTTTGCAGCATGATTTGGAACTAGAATTGTGAAATCAATTGATTTACCAATTACATAAACACTACACTAGGCCTAATTGTCAGAATAAACTTCACCAGCTTCCATCTATATTGTTGAGTGTCTAGTGCAAAGCTACAAAACTGCTAGCTCAATTTCCCTACATTTCACTTAATTTCACCTTTTTTACATACAAAAAAGACTAGCAGGCACTTTATGTTAATTGACTTAAAACTAGCAGATTTTTTAATTAAATTAGGGGTTACTTTTATGGGTATATTATACACATTTATACAAAAGGTACAGTTATGTCCCATTCTTGTTAAATTTGGCTATTTCCGGTACTATTTTATTTGGTTTTACACTTTTATAAATAGTATGTTTTGCTTCTATGTTGGACAACTTAGGTTGATAGTTTCTGAAACTAAGGAATATTGTGTGCATGTGCATTTGAGAATGCTGTAGTAAATATAGGAGTATTCTGTGGCATTCAATTACCTTGTTAAGGACGACATTGCCAATTTCTATTCTGTGGCATTCAGTTGTTTCGGATTTGGATCCTCTCCAATTAGTTGGGAAGGGTTTAATTATCGAATATTGGAGAAATATCGGACAACAAAAATTCATATCGGGTTGCGAATATCAGAGAAATATTGGGGTATGCAGTAAATATAGGAGTACCATGTATGATGATGTGCATAGATAATATAATGTCCAGGAATGTAATCTAAACAAACTTAATGAAATCTAAGCATACAAAAGCGTAAATAGCATATGTTTAGGATCACTAACCAATTGTAGAAACTTAGGGAAACGAAATGTTTTATACATGTGATTAGGGGTGCCAAACCGTATCCGTATCCGTATCCGAGGAAATATCCGTAACCGTATCCGTTAGGATACGGATATGGTTACTCAAATCTATTACCGATAGGATATGGTTGCGGATATGGTTTTGTAGTGAAATATCCGTATCCGTATCCGAAAAAATCTGAATACATATTGGTAATACTCTTACGATAGTTTCGATTCTTAGATTATAGATTTGTGATTAATTTTGATGATCAAGATGTCTAATCTTAGCTTTTCAATCATAATGAACATATTAACGAACTCTTTTTGTATCACATGACTATATTTTTCTGAATACTATCTAGTTTTCTCATATCCTTTTTGTATCCGCATGCATATCTGTTTATGTATCCGCATCTATATCCGTAACCGTATCCATAACCGTATCTGTATTCGTATCCGAGATGGGTAAGCGGATATGGATATGGTAAGTGCCATATCCGAGCCGTATCCGCTCCGTTAACACCCCTACATGTGATGCATGAGTAGTCTTTTAAGAGTTCGTCGTATTTTCCTGCCGATAGAGATGTCCGTAGTGTTTTTGTCTGATAAAAAACCCCTACGAGGCCGCGGTAGTTTGACATTTTGTACAAAATTTGCTGCAACACCCTCTTGCAAGAAGGTAATATGCTTGTCTGTAGAGATTGCTTTTTCTCTTTCTCAAAGCAGTGTTTATTTGGTCGTGCATATTACAAGTTTGGATTTGGAAAATGGTTACAGTGGGGGATTCGGATCCTCTCCACTACAAAAAAAATAGTGGAGGGACCACTACATAATCGCAGCCATTGATTATCTAGTTGATGGTTATGATTTTTTTTTAGTGCAAATTAGGAATGAGTGCAATACACGGAGGTATGGTAAGTGTTAGATTTAGATTGTATCATAACCGCCTACTAAATAATCAATGTTTGAGATTAAAAGTAGTGGTCTCTCCACTACTTTTTTGTAGTGGAGAGGATCCAAATCCTACAGTGGGAGGATGGAGGCCTCCCTCGTGCATAACAAATTCTCTCTTCTTTAATCTTGTGGAGGTCATCTTCTGCATTTGCAATTTCATCAGGATTTATTTGTCCTATGTTTTTCTTCATATATGCAATCTCATTTATCTGGTGTATTTTGTTGCTCATCAAGCTTTTTCTGCGGCCAGTTGCTTATCAGCCTGAAGTGATAAATGGTTGAAACAGAGCTAAAGCCTGGCATAATGCTAGAGGTCTATCTTGGGTTGCACTTGAACGTTTCGTAACCATACTCAAACGAGCTTCATGCTATTATTTTGGATAAATTTTCATAAAACCATCACAACTTGCATTATAAATAGAATCCCCATCCTCGCC